TGTGTGCTGGAACCTTCTTGCCCTCCACTTCATTGGTGAGGCCTGCAGTTCTGCGTCAGACTTCCTCTCCGGCCGCCCCACCGCCTGCCCCGCCCCTGCCCCATTCTCCCACTGTGGCCCCGTGGCCCCTTCCCCTGCCCACGTCTGACCTGACCCTGGAACCCCACCCCCCCACCCCTGCTGCCCCTGGCCCCTTTGTTTTCTTCCCTGTGGGGGTTTCTCTCAGGCCCCAGAGTGTCACCGCGAGCTTCCCACTGGCTACATCTCCGAATTAGGCAGGGCCTCGCCTCTCTTCAGGGCCTGCCCACTTGTAGATATTGGGGATTTCTTGGCTGGCATCTCATGTCTATGATCGGGAGCTGTAAAATGGCTGCCAGGATTTATTCTCCAAGATTTGTTTTGGGCCCAGTTTAATTTGCATAAAGTTTGCATTGCTGATTTTCATCCAAAGCCGCCCGCCCTTCCCCCAGTTAGCCGACAGCCCAGGACAGGCTGCCCTCTCTCTGCTCAGCCAGCCCAGGGCCACTCATTCCAGCCTGGCTTCATGATTCCACCTGCCCACCCAAGGAGAGGCACTGGATTCTCTTCTCCTTGCAAACCATGATTTGGCAGCTCCAGCTCCTGGGAGGGCGTTCCTGCTGCGGTGGGTCTCCTGCTGCAGGGAGTTGTGCATGGCCCTCTGCCTGGCGCATTATTCCCGTGGTGACCTCAGCCGCTGTCCCCTTTGCCAGTGACTGCGCTAGGGCAGTCCCATCGTGCTTCTGACCTTCTGTCGCATGCGCCTGTCTTGCTGGGGAACAGCAGGCCTAGGAAATGGAGTGCCCGTGTCCCCCTGTCCCGGCGAGAAGCCCAAATCCTATCTTTCTGATTTACCTCCCACCCCGTCTGGTCTCTTAACTCTCTCAAGAAAAGAGACTACTCCTTGCTATTTTCACAGCCATTTAGGATTGCCTTGAGTTAATCGACAGCCTTGACCACCCCTTCCGCCCATTTCTCTGTACTGTAGCCACAATTTTTTCTGAAATATAGCTCTTACGTGGACACTCCTTCTTTGAGAACCCTCCAGTGGCTTCTGCTCTCCCAGCATGGAAGTCCAGACTCCTTTAAAGGGACTTGCCAGGCCTCGCACACCTTGGGCCCCTGCCCAGCCGTTGCCCAGCTGGGGCATGTGGGCGGCCTGTTTTCTGTGTTCCTTGGAAGGGGCAGGTCTCGTGTCCTGGTCGGCACAGAGCCTGCTGCACGCCTGATCCACGTTAGTTGGATACTGCAAGAGGGGTGCTATGTGTACGGTATATCTGCTTTGCTACTGGAGGCGTATTATACTTCTTTTTCTAGGACTTAGACCCTAGTTTTTTCATGTTACTATAGAGGTTTGTGGCTGTCCTTTTACTTTGGTGTTTGAACATCCTTTGAGTGGAAGTGGATTGATTTGCTAGCGCTCCCTTGGACAGAACTGGAGCCTCCTTTTGGAATGTTGTTCCCATGGAGAGAGAAACAGGACCATGGTTTCTTGTAGCTTGAATATTTAGAAAGTCGGTGCTTGGAAGGTGCAGCCTGTACTTGTCTTACTGTTTAAAGGCATTGTTGGTTCTTTTCCTACCTCATTGTTCTCACCCCTGCGCCCTCATTTCTTGGAAGAGAAACCCAAGACACACAATTACAGGGCTTGTCCTGGGCCTCATGACCTTGGTAGAGTCTCCTATGGAAACTTAAGCCTCAGAGCCCCGGCGCCAGGGATCTCTCCCCTACACCACAGATGCTTCTTGCTCTGATTCTGTTTCCTGAATGTTGTTGATGTGTGCTGGGCTAGGCCTCACCCTTGTATCGTCTATGGCTCCCTGGCTTAGGACACAAGCCAGACTGGTCGACGTGCAGTCCTTGCCACGCAGCTGCACTTGCTGTGACTTTGGTCGTGACCTTGGTCGGGTCCTTAATGTCTCAGTTTTCTCATCTGTGGAATGGCTACCATGACAGCACCTACCCTGCAGGGTTGCCGTGAGGATTAAGGAAAAAGCACATTACATCCCCCGGACATAGCAGAGACCCTGTGAATGTTAACTGCTGCCCCTGCTGGGAGTCTCTTCTGATACTGAAATTCACCATGGTTCTCAAGCTGACATCAGAGGTGTTACTTAACCTCTCTGGGTCTCAGTTTCCCACTTTAAAATGGGGCGAGTTTAAGTTCCTATCCTGTTGTATTTATTGATAATCTGTACAGAGGGCTATTGAACATGGCCTGGCCATAGGAAGTGTGCTCAGTAAAGGTCTGCTGCTTCTGTTACTGATTTCTCTAAAAAGCTGCATCAGGGAGGATCCCGGGACCCTATATTGTAGTCAACTGTATACTTTCTGAAAAATATTTTAAGTAATATTTTTCCTCATCAGTACACAGTCACCACAAAAAAAAATTAAAATTTGTAATGCTATCTAAATGTCAATATTTTTATGGCTGTCCTATTTTTCCTGTGTTTTTATTATAAATCAGTACATCTTCTCCCCATTGGGATTATTTGTATTTATAAAAACATAACAGGAATAACAATGCACATGCTTTAATAGCTCGGAGTCAACAGTGGTTTTTCATTTATACCTCTGACTTCCGAAGCTGGGCTCTGTCAAAGGCCTGGGGACTTTTGGAAGGTCTCTCTGCAGCCCTAACTGAATGGGAAAGGTCACACTTGCCCTCCTGTCACTGTGTGCATGGCGGCAATATGTGTCTGACTGGTTAATGCTAGAAGAATACCACTGGTCCAAGTGTACATCTTACTGGGTCAATGGTTAGAGCATGTTAAAGCTTTTTTTTTTTTTTTTAAATGAGCTTTATAAAAGGAAACACGAGTGATCTTTGTGGTGGTGGATACAGGAACCTACACAGGTAATAGAATTGTTAGAGCTTACGAGTCACTTGTGGGCGCACACTCAGATAAGTAAGAATTAGTCTGGGGATATCCGAGTCAGATTCATGGATTGTATCAGTGTCAGTGCCCTGGGTGTGATATAATTTTATAGAATGTTACCACCGCGAGAAACTGGTGAAAGGTATAAGGGATCTCAGTATTATTTCTTACACCTGCATGTGATTGTCTACACATGATTAACTACACATGATTAATTCAGAAAGCTTAAAAAATGTAAGTGTAATTTCTGATTAATACAATCCTGGAGGAAAAAAGCGGCCCCGAATCCTGCTCTCTCACCTTCGGGTGACATGGAGCCCGATTCAAGTATAGCCCGGTTTTCTTTTTCTCCACAGCAGCAGAGGACTCGGTCCTCTAAGTTAAGGGCGGGTAGGCACTAAGCAGGCCCCCAGTCGCAACACCGGTTTCAGCACAGAGGCCTTTTGTTCTGCTGGGGTCTGTTTCCGGTTAATGAGCCGGGCATGCTGACGCTTGTCTGCGGGGCCAGCAGGCTGGGGGGCCTCCCGCGTCTTTTCCTGCAACACTGCCACAGAGCACCGTTGTCCAGTGTGAAAACTAACACCTGCAGCGGCACAGGAATCTTCACGTAAGGATTTCTCATGACCCCGCACTGACGAACAATTTACAGCAATTTGAGCTGGATTCCACCTCCATCAAATTAAATTCTGGTTTAAACCAACTCTTACGAATCTCCCTCCCTTTTCCAAGCCGGCAGCCCCCACTGGAGACGAGGGAAGGAAAGTGCCCGAGGCAGTAATGTACTTCTTTCCAGCTCCCAGAGAAGTGTCAGGTGGAGGAGAGAGCTGGAAGGGGGTTTCAGATTTGGAACCAGATTTCAGGTCTCCTCAAGCTAGAAAATCATTCCGACGGATCCGATTTCTCTGAGCTCATTCACTAGGGTGATCTTTACTTGCATTTAATAAAATATTTAGAGACCTATTGCATTCCTGTTGCAGCTTGCCATTAGCAATGCTACGGAGGTTGGCTTAGTAATACACTTAATTCCCACTGCCTTGCTTGGGCTGTTACTGAATGTGGGTCATTATGAAAGCTGAATCAAGTCTTTGGCTCTTAAGGAATTATTTTGTAGAGTCTTAGTTATAAAGAGTTACCCAGACTTTATTTAGGGCAGAAGTGGCAAGTTTAAAAAATTTTACACTTGGGTCCTAAACCCATTTACGTTCATTCCTTCCTCCACAGAATAAAACCTGTGATACCCTTCTTGGTGTTTGTGGAATTGCAAATCGATTCCTTGCCATTGATTTAAAATAAAACCGTGCAATTTTTCCACAGACTAAAGTATTCTTTCCTTGCACGACCTTTTTCTCCAACAGAAGGAGAAAAAAGACCCACACGTCCTAAAGTGGTCTGCACGCAGCCTCTTATGACCACAGGCCATTATGTATGTGGTGAAATATCACTCCATGCGCGTGCGTGCATATTCATGTATGGTAGAAATGGTATCAACCTTTTTGGTGTTGATTAAAAAGAATCTACGACCCTAGTTTTCATGGTAGGGAAACTGCATAGCCTTAGAATGTAGGCCATTTGGAAAGGGGAGGGGAAGGGCTGCACCATTATGAAATGATCAGCTAAGATTGTTATTTAATAATTATACCGATAGCCGCTTTCTAAAGGATCCCACACTGTCCGTGTGGTTGGGTCTCTGTGGTTAGCGAGGTCTAGACCCTGGGATGTTTTCTGATCATTCACACACTGGAGGCTTTGCTGCCGACCCATTTCAGTTTGCTGAGTTTATATGAGGCCGGACCCCTTTCTATTCCAGTGCCTTGTCCTCAGCGCCACCACTAAGTGCGTGCACGCGTGCACACGCGCGCACACACACGTCAGAACCTTGCAGGATTGGAAGTTAACCCCATCCCCTGAGCCCCCCTGAGGCTCTTCCTGGAACTGGGAAATGAAATCCAGTGGTGCTGAGCGCAGTGTGGGTCGAACCCGGCCAAACCAGCGACCCTTTGTGCCCGACACGCAGGCATGACTTGAAGACTGCTTTATTAGATGGGTCATTTGTTTGGCCGGTTTGTGACATTGGTAGCTCATTGCCACTTTTATTTCTTGCAGTTTTATGTGCTGAAAGAGTTGGCCAGATGACTAAGACATATAATGACATAGATGCTGTCACTCGGCTTCTTGAGGAGGTAAGTGCTTCCGGGGAGGCAAAGAACCATTTATGATCGACTGATTATAACGTCTGTTGATTAAAGCGTACGTTATTGTCGGTCTCAGTGAAGAATCCCCAAAATGGGGCCCTCTCGGGGTACAAGGCCTTGCCTTTAGGTTTTGAACTGGTAGCTCTGCAGGTCTTTGTAGCTGTAATTTGCACAAGGCATGTTAGGTTTTAAAAGGAATGTATTAATGACACCAAATAGGAATACTTGCTAGAATACCCAGTCTAAGATCTTTAAAAACCCTTAAAGTATTTTGTAACACTATATTTTAAGGGTATCCAAAAGTGTCTGAAAAATACATCATTTTTATATCTTTGTAATTTTTTTTTTAAAGATCTTATTTATTTATTTGACAGAGAGAGACACAGTGAGTGAGGGAACACAAGCAGGGGGAGTGGGAGAGGGAGAAGCAGGCTTCCCGCTGAGCAGGGAGCCCGATGCGGGGCTCGATCCCAGGACACTGGCATCATCACCTGAGCCGAAGGTAGACGCTTAACGACTGAGCCACCCAG